TGTGACCCTTTCCTCTTTACCCCTAATACATAATGCATATTTGGTCATCGAGGACGATGCCAAAGTTTAAGTGTGGGGGAGTGAATTGGGCATTCGGGCAGTAGTTGTTATATGTGATTTATTAGAGTTCGCATGCGCAGGTGTTAGTTGTATATTCATAGGAAATTCATGCAAAATTTTTGAAAATTTTTCTTTAAACTGTGTCTTTGTGAGCTGGCTAGCGTTTTGACTATACTTTTAGAACATCCTTGAAGTGCTTAGGCTTAAATTGCTTGCACTATAATCTAGTTGTTGAAAGGATGAAGGCATTAGTCACCCATTGAATTAATCCATTAATCATCCACCCCACCTGAAAAAGTCCTTTAGGAAAAGCCATTTTGAGCCGACCATTATTTGTTTACCCAATTAATTTAGCTCCATAGCCAAATGGCCTGTTTTCTTTACCCGTGAATATTTCTGACTTAGTCTTGATGTTTAGGGAATTAGGGGATTAATTTGCTAAGTTTAGGGAATTTGTGTAGGAGCCATTTTTGGCACTGTTCCTATGCCCCAAATAGGGTAAGAGCAGTCACTTTTTAGGAATTTGATATTTTCGAGGATTGCATTGTAGGCATGGATTCACCTTGAATAATTGAACTTTAATTGCTAATTTTCCTTGGTGAGGCTGAGATTAGAATGGGGTAATGTCTAGTAAAAATCTGAAAATTGAAAAATTAATATAGCTAGACCTCTTACTTTTCGAAAAAGAGAATGGGAGCCCCGGTCAAAAAGCGTAAGATGAGACTTGGGTATCTTTCGAAAGAAACGGCGTTCTCGTGCCAACATGACAAGGAAAACTGAACCTAATTAATGAACTTGGAGGCTATTGCAAAAATTAGTTTTAGTCCTCCGCGTACTTCAAGTTTACGTCAAAGCACAAATGTGCCGCGGCGGTTTAGCTTAGTTGTACACCATGTCTACTCTTTGCATAGATTTAAATGATTGTTCCTAATTTGTGGCCTACTGAGTTCCTTGTTCCTAGGAATAGCCCTGAAGTTCCTGAATGCATTGAGTCTTTGTTAGAATATTCCGATCTCTCAAAATAAAGGGACTATCATTATTATCCATTCACCATCACATTCACAAGTCCTTCTGATCAGTAGCTAGCTTATTTGTGTAGGCTGTCATTACTTTGAGGATGTTGTGAATAATTGTGTCAAATAGTTTAGCTTGAGTACAAGGGTGTAGTTTAGGAAAGAATTTTCTTGGTTTAGATTGGTTGTCCTGTGAATATCCCTTTAACTACGTGTGTATGCTAACTATTTTAAATTTCGTGTGGTGATTATCGTAAGTCCCGTTGTTCGATTTGCTTGAGGACAAGCAAAAGCTTAAGTGTGGGGGAGTCTGATAAGTCCGTATTTAGACACGCATTTGATGCGTGTCCGGGTCGGATTTTGATGGTTTTCCTGGCTTTAAGGCGTTGCAAGTCTCAATTTTGGCTCAAGTTGTGTTTAGCAGGCGTTGGATCGAGTTTCATTGCATTTGGAGTTGATTTGAAGAAGTTAGAGACCGACATCGGCGCTTAGAGAAGCAATCGGGAAGAGTTGGAGAACATTCGAGAGAGATTTGAGAGTTTTGGAGGCCACCGGAAGGTTCACGGCGAAGATTTGATGAAGAAACAGCCTTTGGATTGATTAAAGAAGTATCCAGGAGCAAACGGGGAAGAAAATAGCAAGAAAACGGTTCTAGAGCAATCCGCGCGCCCCGCGGTGCGGTTCCGCACGCCCCGCGGGTGATTCTGAGAGCAAGAATTTAAGAGGTCTGAACCGCACTATGTGCGGCCGAAACCGCACACCGCGCGGTCGAAACCGCACACCGCGCGGTCCAGAAATAGCCCCCAGAAGTACCCGCGCGGTTGCATAGTGCGGCGCCCGCACACCGCGCGGGCGGAGCGAAAGTCGGAAGACGGAAAAACGCGCGCGTGACCGCGCGGTGACCCGCACTACGTGCGGACGACCGCGCGGCCTGATTTTCGGCCCATTTTCGGATTTTTCTATAAATAGACCCCTGTTTTGCCTGTTTTTGGGGGAGGAGCTTAGAGAGATAAACCCTATTTCGATTTTTGAGAGCTTTTCAAGCCTTGTTCTTCAAGATTAAGGGATTCTTTGTAAGTTCTATCTTTTTAATTAATGACAATTATTTCTATTCATCCCAATTCTGTTGATTCTTCAATTATGTATTGTGAGTAGTTTAATTAGGGATTTGGGATTGATGAAGGGGTTAATCATGATTGATGGCTAGATTCTTGTCGGTTTAATGGCATGAATGCCGTTTAATTTGTGTTTGAATAATTTAACTGATATCTTTTGTAACCTGGAACCGCGGCTAGAATTACAATTGCATGTAGAATGAATTAAGAGAGATCTAATTTATTCTAGGACACCTTCACACACACTTAATCGTTCGCTAAGAGATTAGTAGCGATTAAGGAGCCGTAAGCTCGCTCGTTTTGGCAATAATTTAGGATCTTGTCGCATGAGAGATCAGCCTGGTCCCCTAAATTATTGTACTCTACGCCGCGAGAGCGGTAAGAACTTATTAGTAATGATTAGCTAGGCTCAATTAAATTAAATTCACGTAATTAGGCCTGTTCTGCCAGAAATCTGATTACCCCGGAATCAATCCTTGTTCCCTTTGTCGTCAATTAGAAAGAAACCAAACATTTATTTTATTCGCTCATTCACATTAGTTTAATTTAATTTTTATTCAATCAATCAATCTCGCACACTTGCATTTTATTTTATTTTATTTTATTTTATTTTTATTTGCTGAATTTAGTTAATCTTTAATTCCCCTTTGTCCGTCCCTGTGGAGACGATACTCGTACTTTCAACCACTTTACTACATCATTTTTAAGTGCGAGAAAACACACATCAGGCCTCCTCCAACCCTTCCCTGTCTCTACCCTTGCTGGCAGGGGCCTCGACCACTCCAAGAAGAAATTTGTGATATATATACATATGTATAAATATTTATAAACAATACAAAATATAGTAGACGAAATCAAATATTTATAAACAATACAAAATATAGTAGACGAAATCAAATGAGTCCATCCTTAACAAAGGCATTTCGTGCCAGTGATGTATAGTAGTTATATGTTAATGAATTTGTGATGATATACAGCAATGTTATAATTGAATTTTAGTGCTCAAGACTTTTCTTAAAAATTATATTTTTGAAATATATTTTATCTCACTAAATTTTTGAGTGTTGAAGTATCACGAAGTTAGAAAGGGATAGCGTTATCTCAACACCAATATGTTCTTGATTTGTTGACTGAAGATGTTTTTATTTAGATTGTAATTTGTTGGTCTGATATGATTTGTCTGATCTGGTCTGTCCCAATCCAAGTTAAAACACCTAAAAAATAAAGATATCAAGAAGATCATGTAGCACCTCCATGACTCCATTACTCCTAAAGAGCAACGAACTCGTGGGGAATCAAATTTTACAAACTTCAACGATATAAAACATTGGCCTTAATTTGAATAATCTCACAATGACACATCCCAACTCAGTCTTGTTTCTTTAATGTGTTTTACGTTTTCCCGACACCAAATTCATCCATTTTGGCTATGTTTAGATGACCACGTCACTTCAAAATGAGTTAAAATTTGATAAATCTAGACAATTACTTGACATGTAATTTTGTTCGGATGAATGACTGATCTTGATTGAATCTGAAATTGTCCAATCGATTTGAAACATTATTCACTGTTGCGTCCATAACAATAATTTGAACTAACAATCATTTGAACTTTTACTTCCATTTCCCCTTTCCCATTCATCTTTTTGAGGGAATTCAAATTAAAACTCGTTTAATCTCAACATGGTTTTATGTTGGTTAGAAGATAGAAGTGTTACTCAAGACAAAAAATGGTGAGAATGGGAGTAGACATTGGGAGTACTAAATGATCATTAGTTTGACTTCACCCTAATTTATTCTTGTGAACATTATTATTAGTTCAGATTATCTTTATGAACACTTCCTGTAAGGATTATTATTGTATAACCCAAAGTAGAGATTATTCTTATGAATTTCGCCCTCTTTAGTTTACCACAAACTTATGTTGAATTTACAATCCCACTATCCAAAATTTATCTCGTTTACATTACACGTTCGCTTTTATGATAATTCTAGATTTTCAACCGATATTTCAGCTATGGTGTCAAACAAGAGTACTTTATTCAGCTAGCATTTATGTACTTTAAAATTCAATTTGAGGCAATGGATGCTAGGGGTATTCGTCGGTTCGGTTTCGTCGGTTTCAATTTTATTGGTTCGATTTTTTCGAGTTCAGGTTTAGAAAAGTTGAAAACTTGAAACCGTAAACCGAACCACACTATTTGACTCGATTCGGTTAATTTCGGTCGATATGTGTCGGATTCGGTCGATCTTATCATGTTTTTATCGGTTTTTAACGGTCGGTTTCAGTTTGGTCGGTAACCCAAAAGGTGAAATCGTAACCGAACCCGCAATGATTAATAGGTTTTAATTAGTTTCTGTTTGGGTGGGTTTCGAGCGGTTCGATTTCGATCTATATACTCCGTATAGTTTTTGATACTACCACGACATTATAATCATCTTTATCAATTCATTCATCTTTTCCCCCCCTAAATTTTCTCTATATTTTATAGCAGGCGCACATGCCTCAAAATACACATACTAGGTCCGGACCTGCAAGCAATCTAGGCGGCCTGCAAGAATCTAGGCGTGTTGCTCAAAATTTCTTTCTTAATCAATTATTAATGGAAAAAGTAAAAATTAAGGCAGGAAATACAGAAACCATTGGAATTTTCTTTTCTTTTTATCTCGTTGAAAAAGTAATAATAGCCCGTACATGGTATTCCCGCTTGGAAAAGGAAGGTCGTCAACACATCGTTGACCACCGCAAACCTCGCCAAACTTCGCAAAGTCGCTGAGCCCTCTCCTATAATCGTACATTCTCTGCTGATGACGCAGAACTTATTTAAGTAATAGAGTTATGGCTTCATTTCTTTTACTGGAGCAAGAAAGAAAAAGTCACTCTCAATTTCACAAGCAGCTAATGACGAGCTGAAAGAAAGTTCGATACTCTTTCTTCAAATTCTTGCTCTTTTCTTTCAAATTTCTCCGTTCTTCTCTGGGGATTGATAGATTCTAGCAAGGGTCTTATTTGATGGGCGGATAAATGGGTTCTCTTGAAAGTGGTTTTCCATTCAAGAAAGATCAAAATCACCAGCTTTTGGTTCGCCCATCATCAGGAGTAAGCAGGCTTCATAGGCTCAGATCGAGATGCACAAGGGCACTGCTGTTCAAGAAGATTAACTATCTACAGTGGATTTGTACTGTGGGGCTGTTCTTCTTCTTCATTGTGCTGTTCCAGATGTTGTTGCCTGGTTCATTTGTGGAAAAATCAGAAAATTTCTTAAAGGGAAGTGATGTTGGGTCTGGGGATTTGGAGTTCTTGAAAGAACTTGGTGGATTGGATTTTGGTGGAGATTTAAAGTTTGAGCCGTCCAAGATTTTAGCTAAGCTCAATGTCTCTATTGGGTCTGGGAGAGCAATGGGATTCCCCCGCAGAAAACCCAAACTCGGATTGGTGAGTATTGATATTAGCCTTTAAATTATTGTTTGGGTTGTCTGGTGGAGAGTTGGTATAAATGTATAATGGTTTTTCATTGTTCTGGTAGGTTTTTGCTAATATGTTGGCTGATCCATATCAAGTAATGATGCTGAATGTTGCATTGGCTTTGAAGGAAATTGGGTACGAAGTTCAGGTAGTTATGGTGGCCTGATACATATTCTTAAAAGAATATATGGAGTAGATTTTTTACAAGAACATACACCACAATGAGATTTACCCCATTTCTTTTATGATTTTCATTTTCTCATTTTCATGCTTGCCATAATTTTTTTTGTATAGATCAACTTGGGAGTTTACGAAGTATTCTAGAAAAGAAAAAAATGTGTGAACTAATCTTTATATTATGTTGTTTTCTCTGTTAACTTGGTGCTGGCCTTAACACTATTTCTCCTTAACTTGTAGGTGCTTACCCTTGAAGACGGTCCTGTGCATGCTGTATGGAGAGATGCAGGGTTTCCAGTTAGCACTATAAAAATTAATGAGAATATCTATGTAGATTGGCTTTCGTATGCAATCTTTTCTGATTTCTACCTTTTTATCATTTTATGTTTTTTTTTTCTAAAATAAAAAGTCTATAGTTTTACTTAATGGCAATTTGACATAGCATCTACTTGCTTCCCTTTCTAGATTGTTTTTGAAGCTTTAACAACACCATCATAAAATAAGACTTATTAAATGTAATGGTCTTTCCTCTCTAAACTTCTTTTATATGGGTTTTGCAGCTATGATGCCTTACTCTTGAACTCGGTTGAAGCTGCCAGAGTGTTATCTTGGTAAGCATCCAAGATAATATGGACTTTTTTGAGGTGTAACTGTAACATACTTTCATTTTTTTTTGCAATTTTCTTCGTCCATTATACTTGTTATTACAGTCTTATGCAGGAACCTTTTAAGAGTGTAGCTGTTATATGGACAATCCAGGAATATGCACTTGCTGATCGGTTGAGACATTATAAGTCTGGTGGCCAGAATGTGCTTGTTGATTATTGGAGAAAAGTCTTCAGCCGTGCTAATGTTGTTGTGTTTCCAAATTATATTTTGCCGGTATTATTCCATAGAAAGTCTCATGTGGTCTTGTGTTTGTTTGTTTTAAATGATTGTGGCATGTGTTATGTAGACTAATTGTGCTTTTCTATTAAATTTAGATGTCATACTCGATCTGTGATACTGGAAACTACTTTGTGATCCCGGGGTCTATTACTGAAGTGTGGGAAGCTGCTAGTTTTCTGGCTTCAAACAATGATAGTTTTCGTGCTAAGATGGACTATGGATTAGAAGATTTCATTATTGTAATTGTAGGAAGTCAGCTTCTATACAAAAGTCTCTTGCTGGAGCAAGCCCTTGTTTTACAATCTTTGCGTCCAATTTTTCAACACTCGGAAAATGATGGGAATTCTAATTCACATTTCAAAATGATTGTGTTAGCCGGGGGATCAAATAGTAATTACACTATGGCTGTTGAGGTAAACCTAGCTCTTCATTTTCTATTTATTATATTTATATGTCATTCTCAAACCATGACAGTTGGATTCATATGATAGATTCTTTGATAGTAAGATTTGTTTTTTCAAACATGCTTCTTAACTATAAATGTAATTGGCAGACAATTGCGGTGAACTTGAAGTATTCTAATGGAACTGTGAAGCATTATGCTTCAGCTGAAGACACAGAAAGTATCTTAAGTATAGCTGATGTAGTGATATACGCTTCCTTCCGCGAAGAGCAATCATTTCCAAACACTCTGCTAAAAGCTATGTGCTTAGGGAAACCTGTAGTAGCCCCAGATCTCACAATTATCAAGAAAAAAGTAGGGGTCGAACTCTATTTTCTTACTGACACAAATTGGTGGTATATCAGCATAAGTTAATATCAGTTCATATACTTTCCTAGTTGTCAGTATTTTTTAAAGTTTACGTAATTGCTGAACAAAGAACATACTGTGTTTTTCAAAATCTAGAGACTAATTTGTTGAAATTTGAATGCTTTCCAGGTTGATGACAGAGTAAATGGTTTTCTTTACCCAAAACAGAATCTTAGGGTTTTAAGACAGATAATGGCCCAAATTGTCTCAAATGGTAAATTGTCACATCTTGCTCGAAATGCTGCTTATATGGGAAAGCAGACTGCTAGAAACCTTTTGGTTTCAGAGAGTGTTGAAGGGTATTCTTCACTTCTGGAAAACATCATTCTCAGGTATTCACCTGAAGCTGCAAATCCACGGCCCATTACAAATATTCCTCTCAAATTGAAATCAGAGTGGCAGTGGCATCTCTTTGAACCACATTCCCATAATAGAACACAGAAGACCCATATTTCACTGGAAAAGCTGGAAAACCAACTCAATTATACTGAAAAGGATATTTCTGTGGCCTTAAATGACACCTTTGTATATAGTATTTGGGAGGAAGAGAAATATATGCAGATGACAAATAGGGCAAAGAGAAGAGAAGACGATGAAGTTAGTGATGCACCCACTACTCTCCTTCCTTTATTTTTCTTTGGATTTATTTTTATTATTCCTTAATTTTCTCAAGTTCTTTTATGTTTGGGTTTGAGGCAGTTGAAGGACAGAACATTTCAATATCGTGGAACATGGGAGGAAGCATATAAAAGTGCTAAAAGGGCTGACCGGTCAAGGAACGATTTACATGAAAGGGATGACGGGGAGCTTGAAAGGACAGGTCAGCCATTGTGCATATACGAGCCTTACTATGGGGAAGGGACCTGGCCCTTTTTGCGACATACTTCTCTGTATCGTGGACTTGGACTTGTAAGTGAATATGTGTATATGATCATTTTCCATACTGTATTTATAGATATATATAAAATTATAAACAATTTGACATGTGGTTACATGGACTCACTAACTGTAGTCTACTAAAGGACGAAGACCCGGTCATGATGACATCGACGCACCATCTCGCCTACCACTGCTAAATAACCCTTATTACCGAGACAACCTTAATGAGTTTGGAGGTTTTTTTGCCCTTGCCAACCGGATAGACCGCATACACAAGAATGCTTGGATAGGGTTTCAGTCCTGGAGACTCACAGCAAGAAAGGTTAGTCTTTGTTCTTTTAGGCAATTCTTTCTTTAATGAACATTGTTCGTGATCCGAATCATAAAACAAGCTGTGACTATTGTAAATGCTTAATGTTATTACTATCTGAGCAATTTATTTTAGAGCAAGGATGTTTCCTCCTATAGCATGCATACATTTTATGTTTTACGGAGTAATACGTAATAGAACTGTTGCCTATATATTTTATTTTATTTTACTTATAATGGAGTATTTTTTAATTTATTTATTTTCATTGTTATCTTGGGGGAGAGGGTATGGGTGTCAGAGATATTTGATGGAATTGATATTCATTTGATCATTAATCAATAAAACTTCAATTCAATATGTATTGTGTAGAGTTTTTGGGAGATTATATCAAGAGTAGTAAGAGATATTTGATGGAATTGATATTCATTTGATCATTAATCAATAAGAAAACTTTAATTCAATATGTATTGAGTAGAGTTTTTGGGAGATTATATCAAGACTAGTCTGTTCATACCACCCAAGGTGACTAATGATGTTTTTACTTGGACTTAAACAGACCACACAAGACGTAAATAGACCACACAAGACTTAAACCGACTAGACCAGACATAAACACAGACCGTGACACTGTAAAATACACAGACCAGACCGTGACACTGTAAAATACACAGACCAGACATCTACTAGACCAGACCTGAAAATTTCAGTCCAACTAAAAACATCCTAAAGGCTATTGGAGCTAGTTTATTGAAACTGTCTCTTTGATTTTGGCTGGACAGCGTCTTTAACTGAAAAAATATGGTGGTTTATTCATGTCTCTGGTTTGGCGACATACGATTTCCACACTAATTTTTGTTATAATCAGGAATCCTTGTCAAAGATGGCAGAAACATCACTGGTGGATGCTATCGAAGAAAGAAGATATGGTGACACATTATTCTTTTGGGCTTCTATGGACTTGGATCCAAGAAACCCACATAAACTGGACTTTTGGTCATTCTGTGATACCATTAATGGAGGGAACTGCAAGTAAGACGCAACACACTTCTTGGAATTTACTTTTGGCGTTCGTTCCTTTCCATCTATAAATGTGTGTTAGCTGAGTTAAACTTTATATATTGTTGAAGGTTTGCTTTCTCAGAGGCTTTAAAGAAGATGTATGGAGTTAAACACAATTTAAGTATTCCTCAAATGCCAGCTGATGGAGATACATGGTCAGTCATGAATAGTTGGGTTTTACCTACCAGATCCTTCCTTGAGTTCGTAATGTTTTCCAGAATGTTTGTGGATGCACTTGACTCAGAGTACTATGATCAGCATTACCAAACTGGATATTGCTACCTGAGTTTGACTAAGGTAAAAATAACTTCAATTCAAGATTTTCACGGACTTCCACATAGGAGTTAATATTAGAAATAATATAAAAAATATAACCAAATAAAGATTATGCATACAAAAGTGATACAAGTATAAGTTTTCATTTTAGTAGCCATATCGGTATTTGCGCAGTGACCATGGTGCTGTTAGCCTGTTATTCTGACAGTACTGATCATGGAAGCATTTAGCCATATTTTTATCCGTGAACTGTAGCAATATTTTATGGAAATGCTTTATATTCATTAAAATCAAATATTTTTCAATGATTATGATGGTCATGGTGAGGTGATGTTCAATGTTACACTGTAGTAATGTTGATTGTCTTCTCGCAGTGACTTGTAGTGACCATTTAGCTTTGTTGAATAACATATATTTATGAGTGAACTTTATTTAAGTAATACTGCAGGGATAAACCTTTTCATATTAATTAAAAAAATAAAATAATTTACCATCCAATGGCTATTATTTATTTAGCAGGAGAAGCATTGCTATTGTAGGATGCTAGAGTTGCTTGTAAATGTGTGGGCCTACCATAGTGCCAGAAGAATGGTATATGTGGACCCGAAGACGGGGTTGATGCAGGAACAGCACAAGCTGAAGAACCGGAGAGGGAAAATGTGGGTGAAATGGTTCCAGTACAGCACGATTAAGAGCCTGGATGAAGAGCTGGCTGAGATGTCTGACATTGATGCACCCCAAAAACGGTGGTTATGGCCATTGACAGGCGAAGTGTTCTGGCAAGGAATCTACGAGAAGGAGAGGAACCAAAGGAACAGGGAGAAAGAGAGGAGGAGGCAACAAAGCCGGGATAAGATCTCGAGGATCAGGAATCGGACTCATCAAAAGGTGATCGGGAAATATGTGAAGCCTCCGCCTGAGGATAATAGTAATAAGAAGAACAATAGTAGTCTAAACCCAAACTCAACAGAAGTTGCTGAAGTACAGCATTTGCTATAGCATTAATTTTCTTACAAAGTAGTAGTCAATGTCTAAAGATAGATAAGTTTGATTTCATTAGCTTTTGCCTCAAGGGTTGTCTTGGCGTTTTTTTCCTGGGCCCTTTTTCTTTTGCATTGTTTGACCACTAAAGCAAACTCTGGGTACCATTCATATTCATTTATTCATTATATATCTTCTTTTCCAGCAGTGTAATTGCATTGAATCATCTATTATGGTTTTTATGCTCATGTTTATAACATAAAGACTAAACTTCTTATTCTGTGTATACGGGGAGTGGAGCGGGGAGCATTATTCTTGCAAATAGAACGTGGCATTGTATGTGTAGAAATAATAGTTCATCTAAATTGCCCAAACTTAATTTACATATAGAAGACAAACATTTTTAACTACATATTTATTACATTAAATAAAAAAGATTAAGTCTTTATGATGGTTAAATAAAGAAAGTTGATAAAATATTATACGTAGATGAAAGAAGCAATATTGGCAATATTGATTATTTTCTTAGGTTCAATTTACCTGAAAAATCCTGAATTGTTCATACGTACATTAGTACATAAGTACATTACCAATATTGATAGAGAAAAGTTAATTGCACATATAGCTATGACAAAACTATAAGGAGTTTTTGTCACTTTTAGTCCTCCAACTAATATGTCACTAACACTTTCGATACCCGAATTTGATTTTTTTTCACTTTTAATCATTTGATTATTGATTGAAAGACACATATGGTACCCATCTTTAAAAACATTGATATTTAGTCATTCAACATTCATAAAGGTGACACTTTTGGTCCTGCGACTATTATAATAGTGACACTTTTTGTTCGCCACTTAGTATGTCTAAATCACAGTGGAAAAGTTAAAAATGTCAATTTGATAGTGATCAGAGGACTAAATGTGGGAACTGTGAAGTGGGGGACTAAAAGTGTCTCCCGCACAATAGTAAAAAACAAAAAAAGGAAAAACTGAAAGTCGAGTACCAAAAGTGTCACTGACACAATAGACGAGGATTGAAAGTGACAAAAACTCAATTTATAAGAAGTGGTTATTATTTTGAAAATCACACATATTACCAAGTAGTAATAGATTTAGTTAGATAATAAAATAGGAAATATGTGATAAAAGTAGTAAGATAAAAGGAATAAAATTTATCATTTGAGTTTTAATTTCTCATAGGAAAAACATTTTGGGAAAAGTTGTTAGTCTTTATATACTTTTTAGTATACATTGACCAAACCAAAAGATGAAGAATATATGATAGCATGATAATTTAAGTTTAAAACTTGCATTGCACTACAAGAGTAATAATTAAAGAGACCAAAAAACGTTGATAAAGGTCTTTCGTGAAGTATTATGATATACAATAGAAATCATCATATTTCTATTCAACTTACTTGTAATGTCTTAGCTACAGAAGCAAATTCTAGATATTGCGAGGTTTGAAATTTTTCAAAAGTTTAATGAACAAAAACATAACTAATTTTAGGTAGTTTAAAAAAGTGACCAAGTCATCTTAAATCCTAAATAGTATTTTGGTCATTGTTTCATTTGGGTTTTGGCATAAATGTAATATTGAGATATTTGATATTTTAATATTCTTATTATATATTATCACACATGTAATAGGTTGGCTTGTCATGCCTACTTGCATGACCCATGCAAGTTGTAATCTCTCTCTCATGTAATCATCTGCCATGCATGTATACTATAAATATGCCATATGCATTGTTCAATAAAGATACGAAGGAGAATTATCTCTCCATATATTAAACTCTTCTTCATATATTAATTAAACTCTTCTCCAAATTTATTTCTAATTTTATCATGGTATCAGAGCCGAAATCCTGGCTATGATTTCTTCTTTCTCTTCACAAGTGAATATGGCATATAAATTGCCGCATGCTCGTCCTTGGATAATTGATTCCGGAGCTACCGAACATATCACTTGCAGTGATGTTAACCTTTTTAATATCATCAATCCCACACCTGAGCCGTCGTCGGTCAGAATCCCTAATGGTGAATCTATTCCGGTCCATGCTATTGGTAGTTTGTACTTACCAAATGGGCTTTGCCTTAAGCGCGTTTTATACATTCCGCAATTCCAGTGCAACCTTCTTTCGGTCAGTCGCCTAACAAGCGATCTAAATTGTACACTAACATTTTTCACAGATTTCTGTGTTTTACAAGATTTACCCACAAGAAAATTGATTGGCGTGGGTAAATTCCATGATGGTCTCTATTTTCTGGAATCCCCAAGGAAAGAAGGGGTAGCAATGTCGGTCTGTATTACCCCCGATTTGTGGCATCAACGTTTGGGTCATGCATCCGATGGAAAGTTACATCACATTAGTTCCCTCAAGGGTTTTCGGCGAGACAATAATTTCTGTGATCCTTGTGTTCGAGCTAAGCAGACCAGGCTACCGTTTCCTACAAGTGCAATTAAGACAACTCGGTGCTTTGAATTGATACATTGTGATATTTGGGGAGCTTATAGATGCGATTCCATCTCCGGAGCACGGTATTTTCTGTCTATTGTTGATGATTTTACTAGAGGTGTTTGGGTTTATTTAATGAAAAATAAATCCGAAGTTCCACAGCTTTTAATTCAATTTTGCAACATGGTTGATACCCAATTTGAGCAAAAGGTCAAACGAATAAGAGCCGATAATGGTGTGGAATTCCAAACAAACATTTTAATTGATTTTTATGGACGCAGTGGGATATTATTAGAAACGTCCTGCACTGACACACCGCAACAGAATGGGGTTGTCGAACGTAAACATAGACACATATTGGAAGTTGCAAGGGCACTTCGTTTCCAGTCAGGATTGCCTATTAATTTTTGGGGAGAATGTGTTTTAACTGCTGTTTATATTATTAATAGACTCCCCTCACCTGTTATTTTTAACAAAAGTCCTTTTGAAATGTTGTTTGGAAAAGTGCCTAGTTATGATCATCTACGGGTGTTCGGCTGTTTGGTATATGGACATGATAACAAACGAAAGGATAAATTTAGTGAAAGGGGGAGTCCTGGCATTTTTATTGGCTACCCTAATGGTCAAAAGGCTTATCGGATTTTTGATTTGCAAAAACAGACAGTTTATAGCTCTCGAGATGTGGTGTTTTATGAAGATAAATTTCCCTTCAAAATTACCTTCGATGAGGAGCTTGAGTTCTCATCACTTGTTCAAAAAGTTTACAACCACACATTAAATCATGCATGTCCTCCACTACAGCATGTCAATTCAAGAGAGAATTATTTTCGTCACTCAATAATGACCCATGGAGAACAAGTTGGGCAAATTAATCATGACCCCACTTTAGTGCAAGGAAATCAGCCACAGAATGAGGTTCACGAACCTGGAAGGCAGCAACATATTCGACAATATACTAGTGGACCCACACTGGTAGAACCGAATGACCTCTGTAAGCAAACACCTCATGGAATTTCTGGACATATGCGGACTCCTGCGCGTGACTCACCAGAAAGACTTCAGCTGAACGACGAGCCCACACCAGCTGGACCGACCAACCTAGCGCCGCCTGAGGAGCGGCTACCCCATAATGAACAACTGCATCGACCCTTTGTTGTGGCTCCGGATGTACATGAATCAGACCAATCTGGTCCCAGCTCTAAAACAATTGATGAGCTACAGGCTGAAAGTGCCATTCCACTCACCGCAGACCAGCAATCAATTGACGCACCTGGACCCAGTTTACCAGCCGGACCCAGCGTCCCATCTTCATGCATTACACCATTGTTTCAATCAAAGAGGAGTGATCGGAATCGAAGACTACCGAAACATCTTGATAATTATGAAATCAATTTGCCTCCATCACTCGATCATTCACAGTCGAGTGCCCATTCGGTATATCCTCTTTGTGATTTCATTTGTTATGAAAAATTCTCACCCACACACAAAGCATTTTTGGCAGCCATCACGTCACGTGATGAGCCGAAACATTTTTCACAGGCTGTACAGGATCCTCTTTGGCGAGAGGCCATGAGAAAAGAAATCAATGCATTAGAAGAAAATCAGACTTGGAATTTAGTTCAATTACCCCCCGGAAAAAGAGTTGTTGACTCTAAATGGGTTTATAAAATTAAATATAAACCTGATGGAGATGTGGAGCGTTACAAAGCTAGGTTGGTAGCGAAAGGCTTCACACAAATTGAGGGAGTTGACTTTCATGAGACGTTCGCTCCAGTTGCCAAATTAGTTACCGTTCGTTGTATTCTGGCAGTTGCGGCCAAACGCAAATGGGTAGTACATCAACTGGACGTTAATAACGCCTTTCTTCATGGTGATCTTTCTGAAGATGTTTACATGCGTATTCCACAAGGGTTCGCAAAAGTTGGTGACACCCGCGTTTGCAAGTTACAAAAATCTCTCTATGGGTTACGGCAAGCATCCCGTAATTGGTATCATAAATTCACTCAAGCTCTCACCAAAATTGGTTTCCGTCAATCCCAAGCAGATTATTCACTTTTCACCTTCCGACAAGGCCTTGTTACCACTTTTGCCCTCATTTACGTAGATGATGTGATCCTAGCTGGAAATGACATTACCCATATTAACATGGTAAAGGGGTATTTGGATACCGAATTCAGTATCAAAGACTTGGGAAAACTTAAATACTTTCTTGGTATTGAAGTTGCTCGCTCCCCTGAAGGTTTTGTTTTGAGTCAACGAAAGTACACTCTTGACATTTTGGAAGAGTGTGGTTGATGGAGTATATGGCCCAGGAACCCCCGGCCCATAGACTCCTACTTCTCCTACACAAGTCCATTGAGCCCAGGAAACAACTCAGGCCCAAATGCGACGGCCCAAGCCTCAAAGCGGCCCGGAATACACACTGGGGTGCCTTCGGCCTCCTTGGCCGAAGGCCCCAAAACTCACAGAACCGCCATATTCGACCATGCGAAGCTACTGGGAGAAATTGACAGAAAACAGGAAGCCCTCGGCTCAACCAAGCCTTCGGCTACACAGGGGGCCTTCGGCCATACATGGAGCCCTCGGCTACGCAAGGAGCCTTCGGCTGAACTAGCTCAATCATCGAAGATTCCTTTTAGAGACAGCCAACCACCGCATTTAATGCCACGTCGCATCCGCCAACCGCATTCAATGCGGTGAACGTACCACTGCCGGTGCCACCAGGCTGATGTGACCCTTCGGCCGTTGGATTCCTGACACGTGTCCTCTCATCGCATTTATTGCTGCTATAAATAGCAGCCCATTTCTCCTTGTAATCGACATCCCGATTACACACGCAGAGTTCATTTAATAAAATCGGCTCTCTCTCCTCCTATTTACTCCAACTTCTCTCTAAGTTATTCCCGCAATAACCCCCCGGATAAGATACCCCCCGGGTAGACTATCCATCATTTGGTGCTCTCGTTGAGAGGTCAGAACAATCAAGTAAGAAACCCTCCCCCTCTACCAAACACAAAATACTTACCAGAAATGGGAAGAACCACCCGTGCCCAGTCCAAAACCCTTGAGGAGAACCACATAGCCCCCGGCGAAACCAACGGTGCTGAGGCCTCCAACAGGCTCTTAGTACCCGAGGGTGGTGTCATCCTTGAGTTGGAGCAGGCCACCGCTGACCTCCGTCAGCAGCTACAGAAGAACGCCCCTGATGCCCGCATTGGCCTTGATAATCGAAGGAGGGACCGGAGTGAGAACCAAGTTCCCCCTCCGGCCCCGGCCATCGATCTTCAGGCAGCTTTTGCGGCCTTTGTTCAAAACATGGCTCTCAATTCCGGAGCCCTCGCCTCTCAGACACCCCTCCAGCCCTACGCTGGAGGAAATGTTATTCAATTGCCACCGCTCCCTCCTTTGTTCAACAATCCTCCCCCGGGGATTGGCAATGCCGAGGGGGTCATGGCGCAGGATACCGCCTCCCAAGAGGCCCAGTCCAGGGACAAGCGCCCCATGATGAAGGAGAAGCCCCGAACCTCTGCACTTGAGAGGCTCGGGGGAGCTCCCGGGCACCGAGTGGTCCAAGACCGCCTCGGGAAACAAGCGCTCAGCAGGCCCCAGGAAAGTGGAGCCTCCGCTTTGGGTGCCGAGGGCGTGCCTCCCCCCCGAAGCAAAGGCAAAGCTCTCCTCCATGCCGATGATGCCAGGCACCAAATCACACAGGCGCAATCCCTCCGGGCCAACTCCCAAGGGGTTGCCCCGAAGGATCCCAAGGACGAAATCATTGAAGCCCTCCTCCGTCAACTCGAGGAAAATCGTCAGGCACCGCCGACGGCTTCCACAGCTAGGCCAGATCCGGAGTACGCCGACCTCCGGGCACAGGTGGAGGAAATGAAACGTAAACTTGCCGAAGGCTCAGGCGAGCCCCCCATTCAACTCCGCACTAGAACCCCCTTCACCCCAAGGGTGTTGGCGGCCAAAATCCCCCACAAATATCGCGGGCAACCCATCAAACCGTATGAGGGGAAGACAGATCCCCAAGAGCATTATAGCCGCTATCAAAATAGCATGATGATGATGGGGGCCTCGGATGAATACTTATGCCGTTGGTTCCTTTCCACCTTGGAGGGACCAGCGTATGAGTGGTTCAACCGGTTGCCCGAAGGCAGCATTGATTCTTGGCAAGAACTTGCCCACCGCTTCCTTACGCAATTTGCTGGGAGGCATCGCTCAAAGAAACACTTCTCCCACCTCCTAAACGTGAGACAACAGAAGGAAGAAACCCTTCGGAATTTCCTAGAACGCTGGAGGCAGGCCTCCCTCGAAGTCGAAGGCGCTGATGACAGGACACTAATGGCCCTCTTCCACACCGTCCTCCGCAGCGGTAACTTCTCCCGGAGCCTTATCACTGATCCCCCCCGCGATTATACAAAGGCCCTTCAGCGGGGGGACCGATACGCTGAAGCGGAGGAAATCGAGAAGGACCGCCGCAACACGGATCCTTCTCAGAAAAATGAAGGCAGGAATCGGCCCGGAGGGCCTCCCCCTCCGGTCAACCGAGAGGCGCAGTATAACGATCGCTCCCGGGGTGGCCAAGCCAGACCCGGGGGCGGTTACAAGAATAATCCGAAGGCATGGGCGCAACCCGTCCTCCTTGAGCACCCACGCACTCCCTTGACGCATCCCGTCAGCGTCATCCTTGATCATGCTGAAGAGCGGGGGCTCGTTGAGCGAGACTCCCGTACACCCCTCGAGATTTATGCCATCGGTCCTGATGAGCCCTACTGCCGCTTCCACCGCCACCATGGACACAAAACCGACGACTGCCATCAGCTAAAGAACGCCATCGAGAGGCTGATACAGGCGGGCCACTTGTCTCAATTTATCAGGGGCCCTCCTCCCCAGGGCCCCCTTCACCATCAAGGGCCACCGCCGAAGGCAAACAAGTGGGTGAACCCCAACACCATCCCCTTGGGGAACCCACAGGGGAAGAAACGTGAAATTGGGGGCCTCGATGACGGGGGAGAGGGCTCACACCAACAATACAAGCGCCACATCCACATGATTAATGGTGGCAACACTGGTGGAGACTCCACCAGCCAGCGGAAGAAGTGGGCTCAATCCCTCTACGTTGGGGAGGTCAGCCACGTGCCCCCAACTAAGAGGCCGAGGGGGGAACCCATCTTCTTCACAGATGCGGACCTCCCCTCGGGTTCTCTGCCGCATAGGGATGCCCTCGTCATTCGCACCGAGATCAATGACGCCATCATCCTCCGGACTTACGTCGACACGGGGAGTTCTGTCAACGTCATGTATCTCAGCACTTTTCAGGAGTTGGGACTCGACAGGGGGTCCCTTCGGCACATCAACACCCCCCTCTCCGGATTCACAGGGGATAGCATAGACGCCGAAGGCGTCATCACACTCATGGTCGAATTCGGCGACGGATCCCATAGAGCCAAGCTCGAAGTGGAATTCGTCGTCGTCAACCTCGACTGCGCGCACAACATCATCCTCGGCCGGCCTGCCCTCGAGGACTTGGAAGCCGTCATCTCCATGAGGCACCTCTGCCTCAAGTTCCCCACACCCACCGGCATCGGCTATTCGAGGGGGAATCAGAAACTCTCCAGGGCCTGCTACCTTCAACTTACCAAGAAGGTTAGTAAAACTGAGTTTCGAGTCGACACCATCACCGCCAAGGCCCTGGGGGAAGAAGAAGGTAGGCCGAGGGCTGAGCCTGCCGAGGACACCGAAGACTTGATACTCGATCCGGCCAAGCCGGAGAGAGTCCTGAAGATTGGAGCCAAGCTCCCCGAAGACCTGAAGGCTGACATCACCAAGACCCTCCGCGCCTACTCCATCGTTTTTGCGTGGGGGCCGGAGGATATGCCAGGAATTGACCGAAGGGTTATCACCCACCGCCTGGCGGTGGACCCTTCGGCCAAACCGGTGCAGCAACGAAGAAGACCCCTCTCAGCCGAGAGAAGGGAGTTCGTAAAGAAAGAGGTGTCTATGCTCCTCTCCATCAAACACATTAAGGAGGTGAAGTACCCTTCTTGGTTGGCTAATGTAGTCCTCGCACAAAAACCTCCTACCTTCCGCATGTGCGTGGACTACACTGATCTGAATAAGGCGTGCCCTATGGACCCCTTCCCTCTGCCGAACATTGATCAACTTGTGGATGAGACCGCGGGATGCGAGATTATGTCATTCCTCGACGCATTCCGCGGATATCATCAAATCTACATGCATGAGGAAGACGCTGAAAAAACTGCCTTCATGACACCCGAAGGTATCTTCTGTTATCTTGTGATGGCCTTCGGCCTCAAGAATTCAGGCGCCACCTACACCCGAATGGTGGCCAGAGTCTTTCAAGCCGTCTTGGGGCGCACTATGGAGGCCTATGTTGACGATATGATTGTCAAAAGCAAGAAGGCCGGCACTCACGCCGAGGACCTCCAGGAAATCTTCGCCATCATGCGAAAATTCAACCTCCGACTGAATCCAAAAAAGTGCACCTTCGGCGTGCAGGGAGGAAAGTTCTTGGGCTACATGGTGAGCCGAAGGGGTATTGAGGCCAACCCCGAGAAAATTCGGGCCATCATCAACATGGAGCCTCCACGCAACGTCAAAGAAGTTCAACGGCTGACGGGTCGCCTGGCAGCCCTCAACCGTTTCCTCTCCAAGTCGGCCGAGAGGGCCCTCCCCTTCTTCCAAATCATGAGGAAGACGGCGGGTTTTCAATGGACATCTGAATGTCAAGAGGCCTTCGACGAACTCAAGAAGTACCTCTCCTCTCCCCCGGTGCTCTCCAAACCAAGGGCGGGGGAGACTTTGTACTTATATCTCGGTGTTAGCCCTGCGGCTATCAGCTCAGTACTAATCCGAGAGGAAGACGGCATCCAACATGCCATCTTCTACGTCAGCAAAACCCTCCGGGAGGCCGAACTCAGGTATTCTCCCGTCGAGAAGACGGTGCTAGCCATCGTTTGGACCGTCAAGAAGCTTGGCCACTACTTTCAGGCTCATCCGGTCCAAGTGCTCACTCATCAACCCCTCGGCGCCCTCATGAGGAGTCCCACTAGCTCCTCTCGGATGGTGAAATGGGCCATCTTCCTCAGCCAATACGACATAGATATCCGTCCGAGGCCTGCCATCAAGGGCCAAGCCCTGGCAGACTTCGTGACGGAATGCACCGCAAGGTCAGCGGTGGATGAAGAGCCTTCGGCTACTCTTGATGAGTGGTGGACCCTCTATACCGATGGCTCCTCGGCCACCAAAGCATGTGGAGGGGGAGTAGTCCTCATTACTCCCGAGGGCTTCCGCGCCTATTATGCCATCCGTTTCTCCTTCAAAGTCTCCAACAACGAGGCCGAATATGAGGCCCTCCTCTGCGGCCTTCGGCTGGCAGCAAATCTGAAGGCTAAGTTGATCCACGTCAAGTGTGACTCCAAACTTGTTGTGGGTCAAATTTCCGGGGAGTACGAAGCCAAGGAAGGGAGGATGAAACAATACAAAGAAGCGGCTAAGGAGTTGCTCAAGGTGTTTGAGGCACATTCTCTCACCCAAATACCGAGGGCTCAAAACTCCGAGGCCGACATTCTATCCAAGCTTTCGGATGAATCCCCCGAACACCTCTCCAAAATTGCAAGAATTGAGGAACTCAGCCTCTCAAGCATCCACGCGAGCCCCGTTATGAACATTAACCTGAGGCCGGAGGATTGGATCTCCGACATCATCGCCTTCATCACCACAGGGCAGCTACCCCAAGACGAAGCCCGCGCCAAATTGACAAAACTGAGGGCTCCCAGCTACACCCTCGAAGACGGGAGGCTTTACAAAAGATCCTACAACGGCACCCTCCTTCGGTGCCTTCACCAAGATGAGGCCGAAGTCGCCATGGAGGAAGTGCACAGTGGCACTTGCTCAGCTCACCAGGGACCCTTCTCCATGTCCCGAAGGCTCATAGTTCAGGGCTACTTTTGGCCCACGATGGCTAGAGATTGTGCTGATCTGGCCCGAAGGTGCACTGCTTGCCAACACTTTCAGAAAGCCCCCGGCAGGCCAGCGGTCAACTATGCCCCCATCAGCACCGCTATACCCTTCTCTAGATGGGGAATCGACCTAGTAGGCCCTCTGCCGAGGGGTACCTCCAACAACAGGTACATCATCGTTGCCATTGACTACTTCACCAAATGGGTGGAGGCCGAACCCCTCGCCAGCATCACGGAAGCCCGGTGCCGTCACTTCGTCCTCAAAAATATCCTCACAAGGTTTGGCGTCCCCCAACAAATTATCTCCGACAACGGGACTCAGTTCGAGGCAGCCCCATTCTGTGCCCTTCTTGAAGCTTGGGGCATCAAGCACACATTCTCTTCCGTTGCCTATCCTCAGGGCAACGGGCAAGTAGAGAACGCCAACCGAACCCTACTTGAAGGGCTGAAGAAGAAGCTGGAAGCCGAAGGGGGAGGCTGGGTAGAAGAACTTCACAACATCTTATGGGCCTATCGCACGACCCCTCGGCGCGCAACAGGCGAGACACCCTTTTCCCTGTGCTATGGCTTTGAGGCTAAGGCTCCAACAGAAGTGACCCTTCCGACCCGAAGGGTGGAACAATATGAGCCCGAGGTCAACGACGCCAACATGGCCCTCGACCTTCATCTCATCTCGGAACGCCGAGAGCAAGCCTTCCTCAGGGCCGAAAACTATAGGAGACAAGTCAAAGGCTACATCGACGCCAAGGTCCGCTCCCGAGAATTTCAGGTGGGTGACTACGTCCTCCGACGAAGGGAAGCCAGCCTACCCACCGAAGGAGGAAAAATGGCTCCCAAGTTTGAGGGCCCCTACATCATCTCAGCCATCATCAAACCAGGGACATACAAGCTTAAACGCCCCAATGGGACGGAGGTCCCTAGACATTGGAATGTGCACCACCTTGTCAAGTTCTATCAATAAGGCATGAGCGGCGAAGCCCTCATCCTCAGCAAGTGTAAATATTAATGGCCCAAGGCCCCTTCTGTTTTTGAAGAATAATCAAAAGGCCAAGCCTTCATCACCTACATATTATACAAGCGGCCCAAGGCCTCATCTCTTCACCATAAAAGGCCCAAGGCCACTCCCTCTTATGAGGAGGAACAACAATTTAGGTACCAAGTACCAAGTGTATGGGTCACCCCCATCACTCTTTGAAAACACCAAGTGTTTTCAAAAACTTTTACATATTCCTACAAAAAAAAAAAAAAAAAAAAAAAAAAAAAAAAAGAAAAACCGGGGGGTGCAACACCCCTCGGCTCCGGCTGGTACCAAGTGCCCCCGGCTATTTGTGTTCTACACACAAATAAAACCCTTCCCAGGAACGCTTTCCGCGCCATCCCCCAAGGGGAGGCAGGCAACGGACCATGTCCCGGGCCCAGGATTCGACTTCCACAAACGAAACGCTCCCCGCGCTATCCCCCAAGGGGAAGCAGGCAACAGACCATGTCTCGGGCTGAGGGGACGACTTTCAAAACCGAGGCGCTTTCCGTGCTATCTCCCAAGGGGAAGCAGGCAACAGACGATGTCTCGGGCCGAGGAAACGACCCTCAAACCCTTCGGGATATCGGAAGGTCATTCCCGAAGGGGGAGCCAACGGTTTGTTCCGTTGCCTCCCATATAGGCCAAGCCTTTCCTAGAAACCAAGTTTCTAGATGCCTCTCCTACACCATCTGAAAAAAAAAAAAAAAAAAAAAATGATGTGTAGGGGGGAAGGAACTCCCCGGATGCTATTCTCCCCGGAGGCTCAACACTTCGGATATACATTGCCGAAAGCTGCTACAAATGCACAAGAAAATCTCTCAACATCGAGTCATCTGGCTACATAGCCGAAAGCTTCACAAGCAGAACCTCACTAAGTCTATATGTGCACAAACCGGAGGCCTCAGGCCGAAGGCAGAATGTCACCAGGCTCACAGGATCTGTTGGAAACACATCTCAGAATTTCACTAAGTCCATAATCTCGAACCCCTCGGCAACCATATGTACCGGGGGCTCAGAGCAGTTCCCATACCGGAAGGTTCACTACAAATACTATTGGGATATTGTGGAAATTTGACTAAGTCCACAATTGGAGACCCTTCAGGAGAGAACAGGGATGCCCTCTTCACTTACAGGGTTGCGGCCGATGGCCCCCCGAACTACTTGGTAGTGACCTAAAGCTACACTGCTAATTCCAATACCTCACCACCGAAGGCATACGCTGGGATCTTACTTAAGGAACTTTCCAAGCCCCCGGTGATTCTACTCTACATCCGAAGGGTTCTGATCAGGTTTTACTTGGAAAATTTTCTAAGTAAAATGAGAATAGCCACAAAGGAGAACATCATACATTCAAAATGCGAAGGAAGAAAGAGAAGCAAAGATATACATTCATTCATACAATAAAATGAGAGCCGAAGGCAAAACATTCATCACCGAAATACACAAGTACAGAAGATGTTTGTTTACAAATATAGTGGGCCGAAGCCGAAGCCTACTGTTACGAATGTCTACATATGGAAAATTCTAAGCCTCTGCCTCTTGGGCGACATCTTCTTTCGGCTTGGAGGCCGCATCATCTTCGGCTTCTTCGTTGTCTCCCTCGCCCATAAGCTCGGAGTCCTCGAGATCCGGCCTCTCTTCACCTTCGGGCAGAGGAACCCGGACATCTGGCTGCAATGGGGGGAGGCCGTATGCTGCCGGATCAAATTCTCTCGGGTCGATTTTCAAATGTCGGGCCAACCTCCGGTAGATCATCTTCTGGGTGAAGAATTCACCACCGTCATAATAGTCTTTACCCTTTCGGGCAAGCCATTCAGCACCGGGGCCTCTCACCCAGGAGTCAACCTTCTGCTCCACCACCGAGGCCACCCACCCCTCGTGGTCGGCCACCATCCAGCCCCCGGCGAGGAAGGCCTCGACTGCTCTCTTCTTAGCATCGGCCACCGCTTCGGCCTTAGCACTCTCGGCAGCTTCGGCAGTAATCTTGGCGGCAGCCGCGGCGGCTTCCTCAGCGGTAGCCTTCCCCTTGGCTTCAGCATCCTCCAGCCTTTGCTTCATGCCCTCGATCTCCAACCGGAGGGCCTTCTCTGCATCGGCAAGCTTCCTTCGGAGGGCCGCCTTCTCCTCGTCGGATTTCTTCAAGGCCTCATCCGCCTGGCACTTAGCGATTCTCAACTGCTCAACCCTCCGGGCCTGCTCCGAAGCGGCCAAAGCAGCCTGCAAGTAAACACATAAGGACAAAGCTTAGCACCAAAACGAAACACCGGAGGGTGCTATCTAAACGATGACGAAGTGCAAGCAAAAAAGGCAACTTACCATAGTGCTATAGCTGGCCACTTTGTAGTCGAGGATGTCATCCTCGAGCCTAGCGAGCACAGACCTGTCCTTCGAGGACATCACCCCTCGCATGAACCCGACGGGATGTAGAGTGCCATGCATAACGGAGGTCCCCGACTTGATGGGGAATTGAACGATCTCCGCCGGCCGAAGGCCTTCATCAACAGGAGAAGGAGGAGAACGAGGGGGAGTATCCGTCGGGAGGTTCGAGGATGGTTGCTCCTCGACTATCACAATGGGGGCATCCTTTTTTCCGAGGGCCCCCTTCTTCTGCTTCTTGTTCTCCGGGGGAGCGACGCCCTTCCCAGAGTTCTTCCTCTTGAGCTCCTCACCCTTGGAGCCCCCGGCACCAGCACCGGAATCAAGTGCTTTGGAGGGACCCTCCCCCTCCGGGACTTGAGACGCCCCATCATTCTTGAAGAATTCATCGACGGGTTTTTGAAACCCCGTCTCTTTCTTCTTCTTTGGCTCCTTGGCCAGTTTTTTCTTGAGGGCGGCGAAATTGGAAACGTCCATGCTAGCGCCTGCAAAACAACAAATAAAGTCAGACCGAAGGGGTCAACTACAAAAGAAGGGAAATGGGGAAATACGAAAATCCTAAGTACAAAAAAGATGACCCTTCGGAGACTACCTCCTATACTGCCGAAGGCTCTTTCGAAAACGGGGTATTGCTCGTCTTTTTCCCCCAAGAAACGGTATCGCCGGAAGCCAAGAGCCAACAAATCCTCGGGGAGAGTAGAATCCTTAATAGTCACGTGCTTCGTGGCCCCCGGCAGCAGGGCAGCAATCTTCTTCCCCTCCTTCTGAAGCGCGGCACTCCCCACCTTCGGGTGACGCCGGAAGTGATTGCGCAGCTCCCTCGGGAACGGATTTTCCGCCATCTTAATGTAGCAGAAACGGTCCTTCCACCCCTTGTGAGACGAGGGCACGTCATCAAACAACCTCCAGGGAGCGAGCTGTTGCAGATTTGCGAACCCCTCGGAGTTGGTGTGGCCCCCTCGGCACAGGTTGAAGCTTTGAAAGAACAAGTCCAGAGTCGCGGTTACCCCTCGAGCCCGGCAAAGCTGAAGGAAGCCAGTTATGTAAGAATGGCTGTTGGGGGTCAGCTGGCAGGGGGCTAACCCCACGTACCTAAGGTACTCGAGAAGGAACGGGTGAAGCGGGAACCGGAGGCCCATGGCAACCGACAGCACGTGGACCGCAAAACAGCCCTCCGGAGCCCGCAACAGGAGATCATCGGGTCCCGGTTCAATTACAGTCGCCGAGGGGCCGACATGCAACTGCGTGACATAGCATTCTGCCCGATCAGCCTTCGATCTCAGCGCGAGGGCGGCAGTGTTCAGCCATGAATGCCCCTCGGGAATTCCAACAGGCTTCCCGCAATCAACGGCGGTTTGCTTGCCTTTCGGTGCAGCCTTCGTCTTTTTCCTCTTCTTCCCCACGGCGACACTGAGGGGTTCCGGATCTAGGGGCCGGGAGGTGCTAGCTTCACCGGCACCACGAAGTGGGAGGACAGCGACTGTGACTTCTTGCCTCTCCTTCTCTTCCTCTTCTTCGGCCACCTGGAGCGCGAGGGCCATTTCTTCATCCTCGGCTACCTGCTCGAATTCTTCGGCTTCAGCCTCCGTCCTCAGCTTATCTTGTACAGCCATCGCCACTTCAGAGTCATTTGGGGATGAGGCATGGACGCTAGATGACTCCACGTCCGAGATACTCTCGGATTCCACCGGGGCCTCCTTCGATAGGTCTTGTGAATCGCTGGCAGAAGACATCCTTCGGCGCTTGTCTTTCGAGAGAATCGGGAGAGAGGGAATATCTAATGTCCTAACAGGACTCTAACACTAGATCTTGCTGGCAAAGGGCAAAATATGCTAAGGAATGAAAGAACCAAGTGAAGAACTGACCTCGGATTCTAGGGTTTGATTGAAAAACACTTTCTCTCTCTAAAAATCACTTCAACAGAGCTTCGCCTCACAAGAATCGCGCAAGGAGAATGACCTCTGGCTTTGGGTATTTATAGGAAATGGGCCTCGATGTATGGGCCTCCGTTTGAAAAGCCATCATTACATGCCGCCGATTTGACCAATAGGCGCCATCCGCCCACTCTCAGCCACCAAAAACTTGACACGTGGAACCCCTCTCCAACGGCTCTATTCCAACGGCTCTATTTTAAAAAAAACTTGAGGCGAGCTCATCTTTGCAGCCTCCGGCTAACACTCCCACAGCCTTCAGCCAATGCATTCCAACATAGCGCCTTCAAGCCTGCGGCAGCATAAGCACCTAGCTTATCAATAATATCACCCCTCGGGTTTTCATCACCACATCATAACTCCTTCAGCCCGAACTAACCTTCGGCCCAAAGGAGTGGGGGACTGGGATACACCCCTCGGGAATCATACAAAAACAAAAATTCCCTCATGCAAAGATTTACAATTGACGCATGTAGCCCCCGGGCACCAGAGCAGAAACCCCCCGGGTACATGCTCCAATATACCCTTCGGCAGAGACAGGATATCACAAGTTTTCCCCGAATCACTCGCGGAGATGAAGGAGCCCTCATCACAACACATGCATGCAATACATCTATGCTTTCCCCAGAAAACCCTCGACATGTGAGGGACTGAGGGGAGCCCCCGGCGAACATGCGAAGGTTATGAATACCTTCCCTCAGAAAACCCTCGACATGTGAGGGACTGAGTGAAGCCTTCGGCATTCAGCAGAAGGCAAGTTCTCCAGCAAAAGCACCCAGCGAAACAATGCAGCCTCCGAGAGAATAAACAAAACTACTCCTTTTCCCTCAAGTACCTTTCGGCAAAAGGAGTGAGGGACTCCTGATGGAGTATATGGCCCAGGAACCCCCGGCCCATAGACTCCTACTTCTCCTACACAAGTCCATTGAGCCCAGGAAACAACTCAGGCCCAAATGCGACGGCCCAAGCCTCAAAGCGGCCCGGAATACACACTGGGGTGCCTTCGGCCTCCTTGGCCGAAGGCCCCAAAACTCACAGAACCGCCATATTCGACCATGCGAAGCTACTGGGAGAAATTGACAGAAAACAGGAAGCCCTCGGCTCAACCAAGCCTTCGGCTACACAGGGGGCCTTCGGCCATACATGGAGCCCTCGGCTACGCAAGGAGCCTTCGGCTGAACTAGCTCAATCATCGAAGATTCCTTTTAGAGACAGCCAACCACCGCATTTAATGCCACGTCGCATCCGCCAACCGCATTCAATGCGGTGAACGTACCACTGCCGGTGCCACCAGGCTGATGTGACCCTTCGGCCGTTGGATTCCTGACACGTGTCCTCTCATCGCATTTATTGCTGCTATAAATAGCAGCCCATTTCTCCTTGTAATCGACATCCCGATTACACACGCAGAGTTCATTTAATAAAATCGGCTCTCTCTCCTCCTATTTACTCCAACTTCTCTCTAAGTTATTCCCGCAATAACCCCCCGGATAAGATACCCCCCGGGTAGACTATCCATCAGTGGTCTTTTGGCAGGTTGCCCTAGTCAAACCCCTATGGAACAGAATTTAAAGCTCCGGCCGGACGATGATAGCCCCCTAGTGGATGCCCCTTCCTACCGACGACTTATTGGGCGGTTACTATATCTCACTGTCACTCGTCCGGACATTGTTTATTCTGTAAGTCAACTCAGTCAATTCCTTGGCACCCCCAGACAAACGCATCTTGACGCTGCCATACGGGTACTACGGTATTTAAAACAAACACCAGGACAGGGTATATTCTTGTCTTCTGAAGAGGACTTCACCCTGCAAGGATATTGTGATGCTGATTGGGCAGGATGCTCTTTCACTCGTCGATCGAGTACTGGTTATTTCATCACCCTTGGTAATTCACCCATATCTTGGCGAACGAAGAAACAGTCTGTTGTCTCTCGCTCTTCTGCTGAAGCAGAATACCGAGCTATGGCCGTCACAGTTAGTGAAATTTTGTGGTTACGATGGTTACTAAAAGATCTCACAGTTCCTCAAGTGGGCCCTACATCGCTTTATTGTGATAATCAAGCCGCCCGACATATTGCGCTTAACCCGGTTTTTCATGAACGTACCAAACACGTTGAAATAGATTGCTACTTCGTCCGAGAGAGGGTTGCTAGTAATGAAATTAGACCATTGTCTATCTGCACGAGTAATCAGGTGGCCGATATTTTTACCAAAGCACTTGGGACAGATCATTTTCGCTACCTTCGAAGCAAGTTGGGTGTTCGTAATCTTCACACTCCACCTTGAGGGGGAGTATTGAGATATTTGATATTTTAATATTCTTATTATATATTATCACACATGTAATAGGTTGGCTTGTCATGCCTACTTGCATGACCCATGCAAGTTGTAATCTCTCTCTCATGTAATCATCTGCCATGCATGTATACTATAAATATGCCATATGCATTGTTCAATAAAGATACGAAGGAGAATTATCTCTCCATATATTAAACTCTTCTTCATATATTAATTAAACTCTTCTCCAAATTTATTTCTAATTTTATCATGTAATTAAAGAAAAATAACAGAAGTGTGACTATTTTAGAACATCCAAAAATATGGTTAAATATATCATTTTTAACATGTCACATGACTAACTGTCATTACACATCCATCACCCTGCATATCACTATAAATATTTCAATTTTTTTTTTGCAACTCATATTTCAGTATTTTATAAAAAGCGATCTGCGGTGAATAAACGAAAATAATTAGGATGAGATGGAAAAGAAAGTGCACTAGATTTTAGATTTGGAACTATTTTATCATTTTTGGGAATTATTGTGATGGAATTATTCAAATGCAGATTTTTTTTATTGAAGGTTTGGGAGCAATATTTTTGTCATTTTCTGATCATTGTTCCATATGGTAATACTAATGAAACATGAGTTTATGTGATCTTGAATATTTATGAAAGACAATTAATTAATATAGGTGAAAAGTAATGAATGAGCTTGAGGAATTCAGTAATGAGCTTGGGAAATAGTTAATGCCCTACAAAAAAGTCAAAAGGATACTATCATGTTCAATAGTTCAACTGAACATTTTTCGAGCAGTTGTAGACTTGTAGTTGCTTTGTATCATACCAATACTTCACAATATATTTAAAGTTCGAGTAATTATTTGATATTCCTCAAAAGATTTCCCCTAATATTCAAAGATTGTTCAAGTAAACTTAAAGAAATTTGAACACGAATCTTTTTAACTTGCAATAGGTCAAACTCAATAAACTTTTAATGAGTACAAGGTGGGGATGCTAGTCATCCAAAATTGTGAAAAAGGTACTCATCGACTGTTTTTTCTACCAAAAATCGCAAAAAGTATCACTTAGCTCAAAGCCTAAAACCAAAGAATATTGTAAAGATGTTGAAGTGACTTAGTACATCTTTGATATGAATCTTTTCTACCTACACAAAAATTTAAAATTATCAGACGGAGGCTAATATTTTAAGAAAAAACGTATTCTTGCACAAATTATACTGAATAAAATATGCCAATGGAAACTACTTATTCTTGATTGTGATGAATTCCAAACATTGATGTCCTCAAAAGAGTATTACACTGATGTCATCAAATTAGAAGGTGTTTGACTATGGTTAAATTATATGATTTGCGGAGATTATGATAAAATATTATAGAGATGAATGGATAAATTCGAAAATAATATTTTATTGGGCTGAGTTGCCGATCCATATTGTCTCCACTTGTTGAGAATACAATTGGGCTTCCCATTATGGCAGTCCATACAGCCCTAGAGTTACATTCCGTATTGTCTTCGAATTCAGCCACGTCATGTTAGAATGGGACCCACGAAAAGAACTGGAACTGCTGAGCTAGGGAGGAGACATTTGGAACGTTGAGAAAGCCGCGAAACATCTCGAAGGTCGTAGACAAAACCGATCACTCTCTATATATCTCTAACTAAAAACAAAATAATATTATTCACAAGAAAGAAGAATCAGAAAATTAAAGCAGTACTCCTTACCAGATAAGCTCGGAACTCTTCATCGTTTTCTGTTGGTTGATCGATCGATTGAATTGAGCTGGTGGCTTTTGTGATTTTTGTCATTTAATTTTCTTCGATCTTCATTGTAACGACTGTAAGTATATCTCGGTTCATTTTTCAGTTTCATGATCGTCTTTTTAGTTTATTTATTTTACTCGGAGGTTTACGACGTAACGCCCGGCTAAAATTGTAATTTTCCGTTCCTGATTAATAAAGGTCTTGGAATCTCAACTGGCAAAATTAATGCATAATGTTTAATTTTATGGTTCGTCTAATTGAATGCTGAACCTAGTTTTGTTCATGTTTATTTGGAATTCACGTCATTCAAAAATGAAAAAAGTGTGTTTTAAGCTAGGTTTTTGGAGAACCTGTGTTTTCCGGTAGTGATGTATCCAGGCAAATTCCTGGTTGAAATCAATTGTCCAATCCTCTATAACTTGTTAGGTTATATGAGCATGGCCGCGTTTAGTTGTTTACTGTTTAGTGCTCTACATAGGGGCATTGGTGGATTCCAGCTCTGAAGAAAACAAAATTTTATGTGAATTGTTGAGATTTAGTCTCATTTCGTTTCTTCTCTTCATTTGTCAATCCTTTATTCTATAGACTTATTTAATTTCTTCTCTCCTTTTGACAGCAGATATCAGATTTTCCGGAAAAGAAAAATGGATTCTTATCCATACCATAAGAATCAAATCCCCACTTTCCCATATTCTTATTATTATCCCAATGGTCAAATGCCTGCCAGGCCTGATATGAACGTGGATCCGGGTAAGTTTTACGGATCTTGGCCATTAGGTGGCTATCCATATCCAGTACCCCATGGCGGTTGCTGCCATAGCAGTAATTTTCAACAACCAAGTTCGTGTGCTCTCAGACCTCCTTACCCCCACATTGCACCCCATCCTTCCCACTATGCGCCTCCAGGACCGTATCCTTTTCACTATGCGCCCCCTCCATACTTCTCAATGGAGCAGCCGCATTATGGTTTTCCAAATAATTACCCCACAGATCATCATTGCTGTGGGTGCCCAAACCATCCTTGCAAGAAGAATGAGACAAAGGATTTGAAGATTGAGGAGCATGATGAGAACGTGGATAGGAAGACTGGTGAAGCTATGGTTCCTTTCAACGCCTGGAGTCATCCTTATCCAGTTGGTTGGTTTCCCTACGGTGATGTTAGGAGAGAGTACCCAAAAGAGCAGGGAAAGGCTTATAGTGGCTGGTCCCCTTTAAATTACATGCAGAATTCTGAAGGAATGAAGGATGGGGAAGACTTGCGGCTAACAACACCACATAAACAAGATGGTAAGAGCATGCCTTTTCCATATCCAATAGTCTGGATGCCTGACCAACCAAAAGATAATCCAAAGATTGGAAGGAAAGTGATTGATTTGGGTCCAAAGTCTTCTTCTGATCAGGAATTACTGCCCCTCTTGGAACCCAATCCAAAAGGGTCCTTGGATGATGAAGGTAAGGCCTTCAGTTCTGGAGTTGAGGAAAAGAAGACGGTAAACAAAGGAGTGTCTTTCCCAAAGGTCATTCCTGTAAAGCAGTTGGAAGATCATAATGACATGAAGTCCCCTTCAAACCAGATGGAAGGAAACTCCGCCCATGCTACTATGAAGCCAAAGAATGAAACTGAGGACAAAAAACTCATCAAGGAGAATGGTCCTAAACAACAAGGATCCTCTTCTAAAAAGCCATCTAAGCTACCTCCTGTTTGTCTCAGGGTTGATCCCTTTCCAAGGAAAAAAGGTCATAACAAACCACATGATAAGCCAAAGGACAAACATCATGCGCCATTGAATGGGGTAGGGAACAGTGAATGTGAAGGCTCGTGTGGGGTTAGTAATAAGGTGGAGGGGAGCAAATGCAGCACTGAAACTTTTAATGTCAACATTGAAGAGACAACCCAAGGGGAGGATACAAAGAAAGAAGTGGTTGTTGGATGTGCTGTTCCTACTGGTGAAAGTGAAAGCCAAATAGGTAGTGTTGGAGTTGAAAAAGTTGCTCCCAGTGAGCAAGAAAAGAGAACATGTCCTGGAAAAGTTGTACTCTGCGATAAAACGAAGGGTCAAACAGAAACACTGACCAAAACAGAATTATCAGAAAGTGAGGCAGCCACCAAGATTCAGTCGGCATATCGTGGTTTTGAAGTGCGTAAATGGGAGACTCTCAAGAAACTAAAGCAAATATCCAGTTTTAGAGAGAAAGTGCTCGAGTTAAGGACTCATATTCAGGCTTTAGAGGATTCTTCTGACAAACCCGTTGATGACAAGCAGAAAAATGTGATTGCGGAGACCATAATGAACCTTCTACTGAAGCTTGATGCAATTCAGGTATATAAAACAACTTTCACGATATCCTTGTCTAGTTTTTGGAATACTAGTTTGATGGAAATGTTGGTAGCACAATTTCTTTTGCTTTGTTTATTTCCTTATTTTAGTGGTGGAAGGGAATTATTTTTCACAGCACCTCCCTGTCCATGAGACTGACTTTTTATTTGCTTCTTTTTGCTGTAGGGTTTACACCCAAGTGTAAGAGAGGTTAGGAAATCGGTTACGAGAGAGCTGGTTAGTCTCCAGGAAAAGCTGGACTCTCTTATTGACAGAAGTCCACAACCACAAGCAACAACTAAGCACCACTCAACAGCTGAGAATGCTATTAGTGTTGATGGGAGTGCTACTAGTGTTGATGGGAATGCTACTGTCATTCAAGGGCACCCCAATAACACAATGGAGCAATGTGAAGAGGGGGAGCTGCCACCACTTCCACTGGAAAATTTACACGACTTGGTGCCGAATGATGGACAAGAAAATGGTGACCAGATAGATGATGTATTTGTCGTTGAAACTCAGCCGACTTCCATGGAATTATTAGAATCCAAGGAGATGTTGGACCTAGATCAGTGTCCATCATCAACTAACTATGATGTGGAGAAGACAGATGGTAGTTGTCTTGAAGTACTATCCCAGGAAGAGCAGCAAAAGGGTCTGAATGAGTCCTGTTTGTTCAAGAATCAGGTGAAAGAAACTGCACAAGTCCCACCACTAGATAACATTTTGAATGGTGTAGAGCATGAGGAAGAGGTAGAAGCACAAACTGATCAAGAAACTGGAATTTGCAGCCAGACATCCGAAGCAACAAAAGGGGATAGCGATGGACCTCCACAAGATGGTGCAAGTCTGGTGGAAGCAGAGCACTTCGATAGAAAATTGGAAGATGATCAAAAGAAGCAGCAGGTCCAGGATGAAAATGTTGAGCTAAAGAGTGGTGGAGAAACAGCTCCCAAAGTAGCAGAAGAAGCTGTTGTCAATGAAAATGTGGCAGCTGCTGAAGTTGCTTGTTGGGCGGCACCTTCTGACCAGGAAGGTGATCGTAAGCACGTAATGGAGGATAATGGAAAGTTGGATAGAGGAATGGAAGGTGATGATCAAAAGAAGCAGCAGGTCCAGGATGAAAATGTTGAGCTAAAGAGTGGTGGAGAAACAACTGCCAAAGAAGAAGCTGATGTCAATGAAACTGCGGCTGTTGCTGAAGTTGCTGGTTGGTCGGCATGTTCTGATCAGGAAGGTGATAGGAAGCACGTAATGGATGATAATGGAAAGTTGGATAGAGAAATGGAAGATGATGATCAAAAGCAGCAGCAGGTCCAAGATGAGAATGTTGAGCTAAAAAGTAGTGAAGAAATGGATGCCGAAGGAGGAGGAGCGGGAGAAGCTGCTGTCAAAGCAACTGCAGCTGCAGCTGATAATCGTGCATATTCAGATCTAGAAGGTGATGGGAAGCTGGTAATGGAGGAGAATGAAAAGTTGAGGAAGCTTATGGAGGGATTAGTTGAATCGGGTAAAGAGCAGTTGACCACCATATCTGCTCTCTCTGCTAGAATGAACCAACTTGAGAAGATGTTGTCCTCTTCTAGGAGAAAGAAGTTGAAAATGAGAAAGCACAAAAGTAGAGCACTTCCAGATATGGATTCATCCGAGGTTGTGTAATTGTATAAAATGAATCCGATTTTTGCTTCCTTTTTTGTAGGGTGTGCAAGTAGAGGGCATTACGTTTTGTTTGAAGTCAATTGCTACTTTCTGTTACTGAAAGTGTCTCAAAATATACGCACTTCGTATGTTTTTATCTTCTGTTGCCCTTCGAAGCGTATTAATATACACTCTCAAATTGATTGAATAGAATATCATATATCAATGCTCTCCTGAAATACACAGATTTAACGAAACATGCTTACTTTTTCAAACATTTCACGATCGCAGGATAATAATAGCAACTTAAAATCTGACAGAATGTATTATTACATTCTATTATACTGCGTCATAGTAAACAGTGCCGGCCATGGACTCAACTTGAAGAATGAAGAGCTCTTTCATATGCTCATCGCCGTCATCAGAGTGGTACCTTTTGTACTTGTTATTACAGTCTTGTGCAGGAACGTTTCAAGAGTGTAGCTGTTATATGGAGCACATGTTGGGTTGAGACATTATAAGGGAGTGTTTGCAATTGCTTCTGCTTAAAAAAAAACACTTTTGGAGATGTGAGGAAAAAGTGATTAGTAGGAAAAATTGATAGTGTTTAAGAAAAAAGTGATTTTGAAAAGTAAAAGTTGATAGTGTTTGGTAAAATAAGTGCTTTTTGTGTAATAGAAAGGGGAAAAACACTTTTCACACGCAAGTCGAGAAAAAGTAAAAATTGGTAGTGTTTGGTAAATAAGTGCTTTTTTAAGCCAAAAGCTGAGAAGTGTTTTTTTTCAAGTGATTGCAAACACTCCCTAAGTCTGGTGGCCAGAATGTGCTTGTTGGGTATTGGAGAAAAGTCTTCACCCGTGCTATTGTTAGTTGTGTTTTCAAATTACATTTTCCGGGTATTATTCCATAGAAAGTAGAAAGTTTTATGTCGTCTTTTATTTGTTTGTTTTCCATGATTGGGCCATGTGTTTTTATATGTGTAGACTAATTGTGTAACACCCACCCCGGCCGGTCTGGCCGGTTCGGGGCAGATGTCACTTTCGTTTATCGTTTAATAAAAATTCCCGATAAAATTTCAAAGTTGTTCAATTGTAAAATAAAAGTCCGATGATATAGTTTTGTTTTAATAAGCCCCATTAATCTAAGCTATATAAAAAAAAATACAATCATTGATTTAATAAAATTGTCATAAATAACTCTTTAATTACATTGAACTTATCCAAAACTTGAATTAATAAAGTCACATTAACTTTTAAAATAATGTCGGTTTACTAACTTTAAGGGAAAATGACACTAAAACAAAACATAAAACATGCATTGCAGTCCTCTCCAGATGTCTCTTTGTCCTCGAGCTCCAGCTTGATTCTCGTATTTACCTACGTGTAGAAAAACTACACGCTCAGCAATTGAATTGCTGAGTGGTACTATAATATAACATGTAGTAATGAAATATATGAACGTGTACTTATCACTTCAATTTTAGATAAATAAATAAAAGAGATTTATCGAAGTTTCAACCACAACTTTCATATTAATTAACTATGCCTTGATCTCATTTTAATTTGAGATATTTCTTAACTTGTTCATGTACTTGTAATGTGGTGGAAAAATAATCCCACATAAATAGATGTACAACGGAAGTCATATATCCAATGAGGTAATCATCTTCTCAATTCTTTAAAAAAAAACTATAATCTATTTTTCAACGTATTCATTTAATCTTCCATTTCAGTCGTTACTCCAAGGACCAGACTCTAGCTAAGGGTACAAATAAAATAGTTTATCATATAACTGTAGTTTCGTGGACCCTGGCCTGGGGTCATATGCTAGCATATCGTGGAGAACGAATCGTCGAAACAACCCGAACTCAGCGTGGAGTCGTAGTTGGTGTAACCAACTTGCGACCCAAAAACGTGGGAAACAAGACTACCCAAACCAGAGTTTAAGTAATCTTGAGACCAAAACTGTAAAACTGTGGTACCCAAAGACTAGCATTCTAAATCCTAGAATAAGACTTTTACATAAAAAAAATATTACAAGTTCTAGTACATATTATTCAAATAAGGTAAAAATAGCCCTGGTACATATTCGTAAACATACATTCGTAAACAAATAGACTTTTCACCCATATTTAGAGGGTTATACAAAATAGTTGTACATATCTATATCAACGACTTTCTGTTACTTTTTTTTTAATGGTAAAAACTTAATTCATTTCATTTTTAATAATGTTGATTATACAATGAGGAATATGATGAAAAACAACGCTAGAAGCAAAGACGATAGATGACCGTGCTAACGCATGAGCACTACCGTTAGCTTCACGCCTAGTAAAAACAACCTCAAAGTTGCTATGACTCTCAAGAATGGCTCTACATTCCCTGATGAGAGCTCCGTATTCTGTTCTGGCCACCTTGTCCGAATGTACATCTTCCACAACTTGTTTCGAGTCCATTTCAAAGATAATCTCATCATAGCTAAAACTTGTCATCCAACTCATAGCTTGTCTTAGTCCCCATGCTTCAGCTTCAGATGGAGATAATGCAGCCCTACACCACTCGGTTTTAGCTATTCGAAAGTGTCCCTGATAGTCCCTCACGCAACAGCCCTACACCTACTCTCTTTCCTTCGTAAAAAATGGCAGCGTCCACATTACATTTCAGCTTCCTTCCCGTCGGCGGACTCCATTTAGTGACATTAATAGTTCTAGCTACGCTGGCCGTATTTCCTTTTCGAGCACTTTCCCAGGCATGTAAAACCTCAGCTCCTCTGTGTATCACTTCCAGCGGTGTATCCCGTCGGCCCTCCCATAACCAACAATTTCTCCGTCTCCAGATGCTCCACATTGTCATCCCAACCATTTTTAATTTTTCATTTGAAAAGCTAGTAAAAATCTTCGAGAAGAAATCAAAGAAAGACTCCGCCCTAGAAACCACCTCTGACATGGAATCCCAAAGATGCATTCTTCTCCAGCAATCAACACTCTCTCGACAGGACAAAAAGGTATGCCAATTATTTTCCGGACTGTCCCCACATATGACACACACATCTGGACAATTGACCCCCTTAGCCCTTAGTCTATTTCTATTCGGTAGGCAATCACGAGCAGCTCTCCAAATAAAAGTGCGTACCTTTGGCGGGACTTGCAGATCCCAGATCTTCCTCCAAGGCCCTTGAACTTTAAGATGATTCGTATCCACCATCCTTTCCATGCAAATTCTATAAGCGCTCCGGACTGAATACCGGCCATCTTTCTCAAATCTCCAAATCATCGAGTCCTCTCGAGCTAAATTTAGTAAAGGAATCTTCAATACTTCATCCACATCCCTATCTTCGAAAAGCCCCCAAACCATATCTTCCTTCCAAACTCCTTCTTCTTTATTAATTAGTTGACTGACCTTGAGCTGCTCTAACATAATGCCACTTGTATGGATCCAAGGATCATCATTATTACGGAGCCACGGCTGACTCAAAACTAGAATGTTATCACCATTTCCAATGCTCCATCGATAGCCCTCTCTCACTAATACCCGAGCCGTCCAGATACTACGCCAAATAAAACTGGGGTTATGGCCCAAAGCTGCCCCTATAAAATCCCCATGTGGAAAGTACTTAGCCTTTAGAGTGCGTGAAACCATAGTATCCGGGTCGGAAAATAATTTCCAACCAAACTTGCCGAGCATGGCGAGATTGAAGCCCTGGAAATGTCTGAAGCCCATCCCCCCATCTTCCTTCCGTATTGTTAATTTATCCCAACTAAGCCAACATACTCCCCGACCATCATCCCTCCTTGAACCCCACCAAAAAGAATTAATCATTCGTTCAATCTCTTCTTGAAGAGTTACTGGAAGTGAGTAAACACTCATGCAATAGGCTGGAATAGCCTGGATGACAGACTTTATTAGCACCTCTTTGCCTGCCTGTGACAGAAGCTTGGAACTCCAACTCGAAATTTTCCGCCACACCCTATCCTTAATATATTTAAAAATAGATTTCTTACTTCTGCCAATCATAGATGGTAACCCCAAGTACTTACCAGTTCCCAAGCATGACCGAACTCCAAAAAGGTTAGCTATTTGCTCCTGTTTCAGCTCCTCAACGTTCCGGCTGAAATAAATTTCAGATTTTTGGAAATTAATAATCTGGCCGGATGCTTTAGCATAAACCCGAATGACATCTTACATATGTTTTGCCTCTCTTTCATTTGCCCGAAAAAAGATTAAACTGTCATCCGCAAAGAGCAAATGAGTGATTGTGGGGGCTCCCCTACAAATTTTGATCCCGTGTATTAAACCTGTCCTTTCTGCTTGTTGAATAAGGGCTGAAAAACCTTCTGCACACAAGATAAAAAGATATGGTGAGAGAGGGTCTCCCTGCCTCAGTCCTCTATGCGGAATTATCGGGCCAACTCGATCTTCATTCACTAGTACTGTATATGTAACTGTGGTAACACACATGCGCATCCAACCAACCCATTTACTACTAAAACCCATCTGCTTCAAAACAGCAAATAAGTACTCCCAGTCAACTCTATCATATGCTTTGCTAATATCAATAATCTTAAGAGCAGCCTCTCCCCTCTGTCCCCTTGTTTTACACTTCATATAATGAATAATCTCACTAGCTAAAACAACATTATCCAATATATTACGGCCAGAGACAAAACCTGACTGTTCCATAGAGATACAATCTGGGAGAATTGTTTGAAGTCTATTAGCTAGAACTTTAGAAATAATCTTATAAATAACATTACACAGTGAGATAGGCCTCAGGTCTGTCATCCGAGTGGGTGAATCGCATTTCGGAATGAGGACAATATTCGTATCTCCAATCTGATCCGGCAATCTCCCTTGCTCTAGCCAGATTCTGCCCGCCCGCACAATATCCTGACCACAGAGCTCCCAAAAACGTTTATAGAAAGCTGGATTGAGTCCATCAGGCCCCGGCGCCTTATCCGAATGCATTTGAAAAATTGCTGTTCTAAATTCCTCCACCTCGAAGGAAGCAGTCAGCATATTATTAGCCGCATTGTTAACACAAGGTTTAATAGTTTTGATCACAGGACCATATTCTGTATCACCCAAGGAGAAAATATCAGAAAAATATTCTTTGACAATACTGCACATTCCTTCTCTGGACGTTGACAACGAACCATCCGGCTTAGTCAGCATGCATATTTTATTTCTTTGTTTTCTACTTGTTGCTGCCGCATGGAAAAACTTAGTGTTCATGTCACCATCCCTCATCCAAAAAG